ATTTTTTAACTCTCGTGGGCCAAGAGTATCTATGATTATGCTCACCCATAGACAAAGTGAGATGTTTTAGCAGTTTAGCCACTTACAACATCATTGGTGGTTTAGGTATTTAACATTTTGTTTGGTCATATGCATACCCTGACATGAAGGGTACTGTATCCTCAGAGTTGATAATGCAGGAGTTCACATATTGGTCTTCATATTGACCATGAGTGTGCACAATGGTCATTGGCTTGACTTTGAGTGCACTTCCATAGGTTACTTTCACATCGGTTTCTCGTTTCATACGAGATGAGATAAAGTTTTTATACTCATTAAGACTTTTCTTTTCGAGAGGAACTTTAGCAAATTTATTGCTTTCATGCTTCAATCCCAATCTTTCATGAACAGACTTTCTTCTGAAGTTTTGTCCCATACATAGGCCTTCAGCGTGTTTCAACATCATCGAGCTCGTTTCAAGTCATTCTTGTAAAGTCTTCTTCACGATCTTCTTTGGCTTCGGCCCTATTCTGTCAAAGATGGCGGGTCTTGATCTTGCCCCCCAATCCTATCAAAGACGGAGTACTTTGGTTTAGAAGTTATTTCACCTTCCTCATCAGCACTGATATGATGTGTTGCGGCTCTATTTATGAGGATCCTTATGGGTTTTGGCTGAACGTAACTCAATCCTGTGTGTCTTCGAAGATTGATCTGCTTCGATGGCCCTTCTCCACCGGCTTCTGGAATGAGCTTCCCCAACTTTTGTTCATTAGGATCATAGCCAGCTTTAGCAAGGAGTTTATATGCATTTGGATCAAATTCTTCTTTCATACGTTGTGAGAGAGCTTAGCATCACATTTCTTTTCAGCTTCCTCTTTAGGGGCCTTTTGAGGAGGTTTTGATATCTCGATCTGTGCAAGAGGAAACATGAGCCCCTCCACACCTTCAACGAGCTTTTCTTTCAATTTGGGCTCAGCCAAAGGGCGATAAACATCATTCCCTTTAGCATCATTATCTTTAAACACTCTTGTCTTTAAGTAAAATTTCGCAACTGCAAAGTAGGACTCGGCCTCAGTAAATGGAGTCTCATCACCGATCACTTTCTTCACAATGCCATTTTTTTCATACATAAAGCATTGGTGCCATGTTGAAGGAATTACACTATTTTCATGGATCCACGGGCGACCTAAAAGGAGATTATATGAAGCCTTTGGATCAATGACATGGCATAGAGTGCTTGCCTTGAGCCCGCCAATGACCAAATCAAGTTGTATCATTCCAATTGCCTTTTGCCCTTCTTGATTGAAGCCTTGAATCATCAAGTGACTTTGGGAGAGTTCATCAATTGATATTCCGAGGTCTTTCATAGCCCGAACTGTCAAGATATTAACAGTGGACCCTTGGTCAATCATGATTCTTTTAAACCTTTGGCCACAAGTAAATCCCTCAACAAAGAGCGGGCGATTATGAGGGGTGGCGCCTAACATAAGGTATCCATCTTTAAAGAGAATATCAGTGACATAAGAGATAGATTTGTATGTTTCTACTTCTTTTTGCTTACCCAAAGCTGGTGATGAGCATATGCTTGAACTCTCAACATCCTTCTCATGGGCGCTAAGGCAAGAACTTGAAATTTGAATCATTTTGTTCTTGAAATCCTTTGGCATATAATCGTTGAGAGTAATCGGCTTTCGGGCAACCTTGGCTCGAACATGATCCTTGATTTGCTTACTTTTCTTCAACTCATTTATCGGTTGTTGCATGACCCATTTCTTCACCACCTTCTTCGGTTGTGGTTTAGGTTTGTGGATCTTCCTTTGTTTCTTTCGAGTCATCAAGATCAATGGTCTTCCTTTGCCATCAACATCCTCAAGTGCCATTCTTTTAGTGAGAGGGGGACATCCTTTCATTCTCTTGACAGTAAATGGGAGCTCATGCTTGTGAGAATTTAGGTCATCGTTGACCATGAGCGGAGCAAACCTACCAAAAGTGATGGCAATTTGGTTTGTGCTTGCAACAGAATCGGTGAGCTCAATCTTTCCTTGGCGAGCTAGAGCCATAATTTTATCTTTCAGCACCCAACATTTTTCAGTGGGGTGACTTAAAAGTCGATGGTACTTGCAGTAATTGGGGTCATCTATCTTTGTAGCTTCCTCGGGTCGTTTGGACTCGGGTAAATCAATAAGCTTCAATCTCATCAGTTCCTCAAACATGGGAGGAACGTCAGAGTCTAAGAAGGGGTATTTCTTTTCTAGCATCTCTTCTAGAAATGGTTTAACACGTTTAGACGCCTCCAAGTCGACCCTAGAAACTTGTTTTGAATTTTGAGAGAATATCTTAACAGGTGCTACCTTCACGACCATTGCTTCTTTATTTTCAATCTTAGAAAAGGGCTTGTTCCCATTTTTGGTATCTTGTTTTTCAACAACATTGTTTATGGGATACATGCTCATGGCTTTCATTCCACTACTTACAATGCTCAACTCCATGTTACGAGCTTTTCTTGCTAGCTTATCGAAATTGTTTGGATTGACTCCTTTGAGAATGTAGCACAATTCCCAATGCATTCCTTCAATGGACATATCGATAGCGGAGCTGGTAGAGATTCGTTCTTTGCAGTTTAGAGCAAGATCCCTCCAACGCTCTATGTAAGCTATCACAGGTTCATCTTTCCACTGGCGAGTAGTTGTTAGTTCGAGTAAACTGACCACCCTCCTTGTGCTATAGAAACGGTTTAAGAACTCACGTTCCATATCTTGCTAGCTATCAATGGAACCGGGCTCCAAGTCAGTATACCAGTCAAAGGCATTTGCTTTTAGGGAACACACGAACTGCTTGACGAGGTGATCCCCACTTGTTCCCGCATTGTTGCAAGTCTCCACAAAATGGGCAACATGTTGTCTTGGATTTCCTTTCCCATCAAACTGGACGAACTTCGGCGGCTAGTAACCAATGGGCATTTTCAGATCCTCGATTCTCTGAGTGTATGGCTTAACATAGGAGTAAGTAGATTGACTTCCTTCTATCTTCCCCTTTATGGTTCCCATGATGAAGTCTTTGAGTTGATCAATTGGGATCATGCCCCCAGAGGTTGAGATGTTCTTTCCCGAACCCGCTTGGTGAGAATCATTATCTTCATGCACTTCGAGATCTTTCTCATGGGTATGACTTGACTCGCCTTTCAAACTTTCCACTTTGTTGTTTAGATCATTCAACTTCTGATCTTGAGCTTGCATGAACATGCTCATTCCCTCGATGACCTTAGTTAAATGGGCGATTTGTTCTTCCATAGATGTCGTGCTTGTCATCATATTGGGCATCACAGTGTAGACATTTGACCACTGTGGAGTAGTTCTTCGTGGAGAGGTTGACGGAAAAGTAGAGTCTGACCCAGATGCTGAGCTTTCACCACTACTTGTCCATTTTGGGGAAGTAACTTCACGTATGGGTGAAGAAAGCTTCCGGACCATCTCTTGCGCAATTTGAAATCTATCCATCGCATCGGGAGTAGTTCCCGAAGATGACTGCGCAGTCATGATTCTTGAACGGCTCCTAGTGATAGGGCCTTCCATGTTTTGATTCGAGCTTGATGATGCTCTAGAATTTAGAGTGAACACGGGCTTGTTTGATGCCATGGGTTCGTTTTCAAAAGTGAAGAGATGAGAGGTAGAGATGTCCCACCGGGCGTGCCAAAAATTTGTGAAACAAATTTTAAGTATTCACTTAAAATTGATCGTAAATAATAATATGTGAGAATATTGGGTACAATCTCTAAATATGATCCTCTGATTCTTCATTTGCAATTTAACATGAATATAATTAAAGAAATTAATTCAAAATTAAATCTTTAATCCTTCACACGTTCGAACGTTCTTGAGATCTTCAAATCTTCGTTCTTGAGATCTTCGAATCTTTGTTCGTCGGATCTTCAAATCTTCTTGAATTAAGAATTCAACTTGAAGGGCCTCCGGTTTTCAAGTGGTTTGATCTTCAACAAAAGAGTCGTTTTATGGCTTGATCTTTTGTTTAAGGGTCTCCCGGGATATATGGCTTGATCTTAAATTGAATTTCAATTCAATCTTCATATGAGTATCTTCAAAGATTCGTTCTTCATATCTTCAAATCTTCAAAGTCTTGTTCTTCAAATCTTCAAATCTTCAGATCTTCGAACGTTCTTCAACTTTTGGATTTATTTTATTAAGAATCGACGAAATCACGAAGGATTATTCGCATATTCTTAATAAAATTCGTGGCTTGATCTATTCCTCTTCTTTGGAATCGTTCAGAGCTTTCGGGAGTTCTTTAGAGCTTTTCTGCAGCGTTTCTTCGTCTGAAAATTCTCTCCTCTTTTCCTCTCAACTGAGACCCCTATTTATAGGTGTGGAGAGGGTGAAAATATGCTTTTAGGGTTTGGAAATTCGTCCATACTCCTTAGGCCCTGATTAAAATGGGCTTTGAGCTCTATTTGCTCGCATTTTAATAGCTAGAAAATCAGCACTTATTCGATGTATCTGGACAGCTTTTTTAATAAGGTTCACAACCATTTTCTATGCATATGGACTGATTTTTTAACCAGATTCGTCGTCCACTTCAAAAGTTGGATTGTGCCTCTCATTCATTGGGCTATTATTTAATAGTGGGCTCATAATTAATAGGACCGATACATTCTTTTAAAGATTTGATTTATAACTAAATCAATTGGGTATTATTTTTTAATGACCCAAATTAATTCAATTATTAAATTTTATCTGAATGAGTCCATATTAATAATTTTATAAAGCCCGACAACCATCACAAGCAGCCCAACAGAATTGAACATTGGCCCAATAATTTTTATATGTCCAACAAGACAAATTATAGTCGGATAGCATTTAAATGAAGCTCATGACTATCCCAATCGGCCTAATAAATTTTAAATGTTCACAGTCCCATCTGACTATGACTATTTGATCTTAATTATTGTACTTTTCTGATTCTATGGTCTTAACATAATTCGGTGGCGCCTCGAGCCAGCTACTTTTCGAGCCTTTTAAAACATTTTTTCCAATCTATTAACAAGTTGAGCCCAAGGTCTTATAAACTCATGTCTCACTCTGATATTCGATTGTAAACTTTCTACAGATACATATTTGAATCATAGACCACCTTATTTATATTCAAACTACAAGAGGGGCAAGAGGGAGTACAAACAGGTTTACCAAAAAAAACTCTATAATACAATGGCTATCAGGGTTTGAGCTTCTTACACGCTGCTAGATTTGATGGCAGACATGGATTATGGTAACCACGGCAGTATCATAAACCGGCTGCCAACTTTAGCTCAGATTTTGTACAGGACCTGATTTTGGGCCTGCAAGGGAATCATTAGTGACGGACCCAAAAAATCATATTGGCGGGGGAGGGGAGGCAACCTCGTTAGATTTATAGTGGCATTAGTAGTGGGAGGCCAAAACTTCATATTTCAACATGTTTTCCTTAGTTTATAAACATTTGTAATATGAACACAAGGGGGAAATTGGGGGCTGCAGCCCCTTCATCCTCTTCGTGTCTCTACCATGGTAAACGAGAAAGAGATGAATATAAAATAACCATGTCATCATATGGAGTATTTGTTTTGAATGAACAACAAACCTCATCATGAAGATATAAAGCTAAACAAATCATACCTTCTCTTGTGGGTAGAGAAGGCCTCAGAAGTTCAGGGTTGACAACCAATCCAACAGTGCTTTATTCACAATCTCTGGAACCTCATCGTGCGGACAATGTCCTGCCTGCAGGTTAATGAGTGAAGCATTTGGATAAAACTCCTTAATTCGATTGGCCTTCGAAGGACGAATCCAAGGGTCCAAATCCCCCCACAGCAACAGCAATGGGCAAGAGAGTTGGCTCAAGATCGCATCAAGGGTGTACTTTCTCTGGTTCGACATAATTCGTGTCATTAGCCTGCATACAGAAAAATGCAAAAAATGAGAAAAGGAGCAAATAAGCCCTCGAACTATTTGCGATTCGGCAATCAGGCCCATGAACCATAAGACTTGCAGATACGCCCTTCAACTCGTTGAAAATTAAGCAATGAGATCCTGCACCCACACGTAAAAAAGGACTTGCTTGCTTAATTTACAACGAGTTGAGGGGTGTATTTGCAAGTCTTCCGATTCGGGGGCCTGTTTTCAGATCACAAATAGTTCGAAGGCTTATTTGCCTCTTTTCACTGCAAAAAAATTATACTAGGATAATACCACGTTCAATATACAAACCACAATACCAACCATAGAAGGGAGACACGTTAATATAAATTTGGAAAAAATCATTATTCTTGTTCTTAGTGATTAGAGATGTAGTCATTGACTTTCAACAAGCATTTTGGCCACATCAAGTGTCCAAAGAGCCATTTATGCAATGACAAATTCAACGATACATATACCTTGTTCACATGGACCAATTACAATAGTGCAATTAAGTAACTTAAATATAAATAAATAATGAAGGTGACAACTCCGGTACCCTTCTAAAAAATGGGGTACCGTACCTACCATTCATTTGATTGGACCACACTACTTTATTATTTTTAATTTAGATTTAAGTAATTCAACTGCTACATTCTCATTGGTCCATGTGAACAAGGGTATGGTACCTTATGGGTACCATAGAATCTACCAATAATGAAATGATGACATGCACCAATCATATGCATTGCGTATACGGTACCCTCATTTTTAGTGGGGTATCATAGCATAATGTAGACCTATGTTTGTGGAGTCAACTCCGCTTTACACTATCTCTCACAATCACACATATCCTTAGTGGAAACTTCCAATGATTATAAATACCCTTCATATAATTTCAGAGTAGTTTAAATATACTTCATTTTTATTATTCACCTTTTCTGAATAAATTAATAATTCAAATTTAAAAAAATTATAGTTATATTAACGTTACAAAAATTTATCGCACAATTCGAGCTTTTTGTCAAAATTTATTAATTTAAACAGGAAAACACATCTTCACTCAGTTGAGCATTAACAATAATTTAATTCATGCCAATTTCATATTCTTAAACAGGAGCTCCACTTGTTATTCTGCAAATCCACCTCTATTTGGCCAGCGAAAGAAAAAAAACATGAAACAAGAGTGAGAGTAGCCAGATGACTCACTTTGTTGACTATAAGACCGAGCCAACACTTATTCTTTAACTTTGGAGGTATAGGTCAAATTTTCACTGAATCATACGGAGTAGTATGAAAAAGTATTTTATGTGAGCCAAATGCTTACTAGAGGCAATGCAAATTACGAAGTACTATTTGCTTCTATTCATTTTGATTTCAAGTTTGATCCTTTCAAACATTACTAAGTTTGCATTCTTTTAAAGCCTAATAACATTATATAGATCTATACAGTTACTAAAAAGTCGCCTAAATCAAATAAATATGCATACACTACTACATACTCACCAGTGTCTGGACTGTGTGCACCAATATGTATTAATACAAATTATCAATAGAAGAAAAATCAATATTCCCTTATTTTATCTGACATCATGAAATATGTGTTTCACATATTATGGACTTATGGTATATGCTAACAATCATGCAATAACTAACTTTGACACAATCGAAGACTTTTACGATCTATTTTAACTGATTTATGAATCATATTCTATTCACTCATATTAAAGGATTTATGATTGGCTCTATGTGCCAGGATATCCATATTAAAGGAGTGTTTGTGTTTGCTTCTACTTTTGAGAAACAATTTTTTTACAGATTATATAGAAAGTGTTTAATAGTAAAAGTTGGTAGTATTTGAAAACAAAAATGATTTTGAAAAAGTTAAAGTCGGTGTTTGGTGAAAATGTACTTTTGTGTAACAGAAGAGGTGAAAAACAATTTCAAGCACCCTTTGCTCTCAGCTTTTATCTTTAAAGTGCTTAATTTAAGCAGAAGCACATGTTTCAAAACACTACTTTTAGATTTATAAAAGCAAAAGGATGAGCATTTTTTTGAGTTTTTGCAGACATTCTTCAAGTATTCTATCTAACTCCTATTTTGTAGTTTTATAGTTGTTGCACAGCTAATCATATATGCAGGAGTTAATGTTTTAATTCTTTTTGTGTTACACAAATGTACCAGTTGCCATTTTGATTTAAATTTCCCCTCACCTGGAAATATATTAGTTTCGTATGCACTTGTTTGATTATTCAAATTAGACCTAATAATACATTTGATTATATGCGAAGATATGATATCATTATTTGTAAAACAAAAATTGAACTGCTATTAACACTTAGAAAAATTAAGGACGCCTAGTGCAATTGCAACATTTAAATTATGACAGAGAGTTTTTGCCACTTTTAGTCCTCCGACTATTATGTCTTTGACACTTTTGGTACACGTCTTTGAAAATTTCCATATTTAGTCCTCCGACTTTCATAAAAGTGAAACTTTTGGTCCTTCAACTATTATAATAATGACATTTTTAGTCCTCCTTTTATTGTGTCAAAATCATGGTGGAAAGACTAAAAGTGTCAATTTGATAATACTCTGGGGACTAAATGTGGAAATCTTTGAAGTCGAGGACTAAAAGTGTATCTAGCACAATAGTCAAGGACTAAAATTGGAAAAATTAAAAGTCGAATACCAAAAGTGTTAATGACACAATATTCACGGGACCGAAAATGGAAAAAACTCTTTTGACAAATATCATAAGTTATAGTTAAATGAGAAAACAAGCAAATCTAATGTAAATAGAGTAATATTCCATCATTATCCATCCCAACACTTTTATTTAAAATATATGATTCTAAGAATTGAATAGAATTAATAGTATGGTAACAACCAGGGGAGTAGGTAGGGGCCATGCTAGGCCCAACCCAGCCCAAATTTCATTTTTTTTAAAATTATTCTGGTAAAAAAGTCTGGATTTTTTTTTGTACCGGCTCAGCCCAATATACCGCCCTTGCTACGCCCCCGGGAATTTTCTATACGTCTTTCATATAAAATTTAAATATCAAGTGCATATAAAAGTCAGACCATATATAACTTCAATTGCATATATAATGCTGTTTCATTTATATACATCACTAAAACTAATGTCATAGTCATAAATAACAAAACATATATGACCACCTTTGTTATCATATTTATTTTACAAGACTTCTGTTATCATGTTAAGCATCTTATCATGCAAAACTTATATTCGTTTTTGTTTTCTGTGTCATACAGCTATGCAAAAGATGGAGTTCAATATAGTACCTGTAATACACCTCTCCTGCATTAGGGTCAGCTGCAGGCCATGATATTGAATCAATGAGATAATCGTCCACATTTGAAGAATTTATGTAGACCTACAGTTTTAATGAAAATATAAGAATCATTTACTATAACTTGTTGAAATGATGCATTAATTAATTGTAAATTGTAATAGAGATCATGTACACTCTTCAGAATAGATTCAATTCGAGCTGGTTGCTTGGCTTGCCAAAACAAAAATCCAAGGAAAAAACGCTGAACGATCTCCTTCACTGGATTTAGTATGGATTTTTTTGAGGTGGCATCTTCGTGTTCATTATTTGCAGAACTATCATCCTCAAATTTCCCTGCACTGTTTAACAGCACAATTCCTTTAACTTTCTCTGGCGATGCAGCTGCTGCCACCAATGTTGTAAATCCTCCAAGGCTGTCAAAATGCATGGTATGTGAACTTAGTCATTTATATCAATCTTATTCCTCTATACACAATAAACAGCCAAAGCACAAGTTTTGCCATTATACCATTCCTTCCCATCCTCATTGAACCCATTATATGCCAAATTTTTAGGTCAGTTCCAAAAGGAGAATTATACGTTACAACTTATAACACAATGACTTTGGGTAAATTGCATTATTTTTTGCATTATTAGTGCTAAAAATACGTACTAATAGATAACAGACGATTAAATTGCAGTATTTTTTGCATGAATATACAGTGCTACGCATTTTAGACAATTACTTGACATTAAAAAATTTGTTTCATCAAGACACCAACCCCTACAAAGTCGAAATGAAAATGATGATTTGAGGGATGGGGATTAAAACAGAAATAAAGGCATTGCAAACTCAATACGCAGAAAAGCGCATTTCTCTCAAAAAGGAGAATTAGTCAAAAGTCCACTACATTTAGACAGTGACACAAAAAAATGGTTTACTATAGATGCGGGAATTAGATCAACAAATTTATTATCAAGAACTATACCTGTTTCCAACTAAAACTGCTGGTTCATTGACTATCTCCTTCAGAAAATCGAGAACCTGATCTCTCCAAATCAAGGTATCATATTCAATGAGTGCCTTCTCACTCCATCCAAAACCAAGCAAATCCAAAGCATAGACCTTGTAGTTTTTAGCCAATTCTGGTATGTTATACCTGAAATAGAGGAGAAAAATGTTTCTGAAAAAATCCCGCAGCAACAGAAATTGGGAATTGAAACAGGGTTTGTAAGCACAAGCTATTGGCTTATGATCAACCATGACACCCACATTGCAGAAACTGGATTGTTATCAGGAACCGACTCTGTGTATAATGCAAATACTGCAGAATATATGGTTTCTAATATATTGATTCTTAAAGTTAGAATTAGAATCATCACTTTGCTAAAAACCTTCATTTCTTGTTAGATAAACCAAAAGGATCCATGCTGAATTAGGAGCTTAATTAAGTCACAAGCACGGATAACTATTTGCCCAAACCAACAAAAATTGCCGACCTCCAATGAAAAGCAGAAGCCCCAAACCCATGAATCAGAACAATGGGAAACCCGTCTCCTTCCACAACATAATGGATTTTGTGGCCTTTCCACGTCCAAAAGTTGTATCCCTCCCGCTTAAATGGCAGCTTTTCCAGTCCTATTTTAAGAAAAGCGTAAATACCAAGACAATTTAAATTATGAACACTAAAATTTAGGCTTTCATTTAAAAGGACAACCTAGATAACTCAAGAACTTAAACATAAGTTTGTATCTCTACATTTGACCAGTCCTGAGATGACTAAACATAAAAAAAGGGTAGCCAGGGCACGACGGCATCCCGCAAGGCGAGGGTCTGGGGAAAGGTCCCACCACAGTGTATAAGGGGAAAGCTTTCCCCTATCCAATCCTGACAAGAGCCGCTCACAAGACTTGAGTCTGTGACCTCTCGGTCACACAACAACACCTTAAGAGGTGCGTAGAGGCTCTCCTTCTCCTGAGAAGGCTAAACAGGTGATGGTAAATTCTAGAGCAGACTGATCTTGAGATCTGTGTGTTCTTTTGGGATCTTAGTCACATCGAGTTGCTTGTTTGAATGAGATGACTTGGACTCGAGGTCGAGAATTTGAAACTTTATACCACAATCTGTATATATTTATTTATATTTGGCCGGTTTTAGAGACTTGATTTCAACCCAAACATCAACCTCATGGACAAAAGCTGTAGCGCAATTAGCAAAGTGAAAAGGAAAATGTCTTGAATATTCCAAGCATTACACTGAATGAGGTATCAAACTTAAAATGCAGCCATGCAGGACTCGCCTTGAGACTGGTGTGCAGCTTCTTCAGAAGGGGAGGTTATAACGGAAGCTCCGGCAGCGAAAATTCCTTTGAAAGAGAAACCACTTCGACTCAATGCGCACATGCCTCCTTTAAACACATACCAAGAACGCGAAATAATCAGGAAATGAAGAGACTTTCAGGTTTTGTTGATCAAAAATGGGGTTGAAAGCTTACTCGGGTTGATTCTAGCAGGAGCAATTAGGATTTTCCGATCTGTACAGAACCAATCTGTAGTTCTAGCCGTGCCTGGATGAACTGTGGAGAAGGAAGGTGACATCGTCTCAAGCTCCACCGCTGGCTCAGCGAAGTCGATTATTGAGCTTTCTTAAAGAACTGCTGAGAGAATTTGAACTTAGAGTGGTAACATGGATCTTCTTTTCTAGTCATTGGCATTATTGTTATCGGTGGCCTAGCAACAGCCATGTGACTGACATTGTGAGCAAACAGTGAGTTATAATCACATTTTGTTGCAGTATTTACAGGACCACTACCGTCGGACTGATTCCATTCCAAAATTAGAAAGGTGACACTACTCGGGACGCACGTGGGAGCTACTGTGCTACGGGTGGAGCTCGGTTCACCTTAGAACGAGCCGGCTTAATAAAGAATAGAGGTGGGCAATTCGGTTTTTTGTTCGGTTTTCTTCAGTTTCGGTTCGGTTTCGGTTTAATCGGTTTGAGAGAGAATTTGTATCAAACTAAAATCATTTGAGTTTCGATTTGGTTTCGGTCCGGTTCGGTTTGAAGTTCGGTTTACCAAAGTGAAAATTATTAGTTTCAATTTGGTTCAATTTGATTCGATTTCTTATGTCTATTATTTTATTTGATCAGATTCTATATTTTAGAATTAGAAAATGAAAGTAGTAGTTCATCTCATCTTCTTGTATTTATTATTCAAATAAAGATAGAAAAAGAAATAATAAAATATTATTATTTTTACAGTAATACCACCGCGTCAAAAAAAAATTGAATGTTTCTGAAGTTATTTTTTGCGGTGACATTTTTGTAATTATTTTTTAGGGGGTCTATAAGTTATGATTTATTAGTTAAAAGTTCGTGTTTTTAGTCTATAAGTTAAACTTCGTAGTTCTCAGCATAAGGGCACTTCTCACTTGATACGCTCCATATATATATATATATATATAGAGAGAGAGAGAGAGAGTCATTCTCCTGACCAGCACTTTTCTGTCCGAACGCCATCCGAACACCGCCTTTTGGGGCGGTTCCCGGGGGAATGTTTTGATGAAATTTTTTGACCATGTTTCTCATCAAGTCTAGTTTATCCATACCAAATTTCAGCTCAAAATTCGATCAGGAAGGCAGTCAAATAATTCGTTGAAGTTAACTGCGCCAAATTATACATAGAAAAACACAGTTAACTTCAACGAATTATTTGACTGCCTTCCCGATTGAATTTTGAGCTGAAATTTGGTATGGATAAACTAGACTTTATGAGGAACATGCTCAAAAACATTTCATCAAAAACTTCTACCGAGAACCGCCCCAAACGGTGGTGTTCGGACGGCATTCGGACCGGGAGGTGCTGGACCTGAGAATTTCTATATATATATATAGGTTTTGGTTCAAATAAGAACATGATCTTAGGATAGAAATGAGAATGAATCTGGACCGTTAGATTTGCTTTAAATGAAATTCAATGTGCATTAGATGAAACTGTAATGTGCATAAGGTGAAATTGAAATGTGCAACACAAAAGGTATGATATAATGGCATTATGTGAAGTTGAATTGTGCATTAGGTGAAATTGAAATGTACACTGGGTCAAACTGAAATGTGCAGAATAAAAGGTACGATGTGATGTTATTTTTGTACCATTTATTCCGCACATTTTAGTTTCACCTAATGCACACTTGAGTTTAATTTTTTATTCTGCACATTTTGATATCATCTGATGCACATTTCAGTTTCATCAAATGCACATTTCAATTCTACATAATACAATCCAATGGTCCAGATTCATTCTCATTTCTCTCCTGGAAGTCTGTTCTTACCGGAACCGCTCCCTATAGGGTCCAGATCATACTGAAATTTTGTCTCGTGCATCACACCTGTGAGAGTTTAGTATTCTAAAAAGTGATACAGAGTATATTTTCAAATAAAGAGTTTGATTTGTTATACGTTTAAACACATATGTGCAATTGTCAATAATTTTTTAAACATAAAAACATTATTATAGCTTCTCGGTAAACCACTAGTAGTATTATAAAGGGAAGGGAGAGCTAAGATTTTAGAGAGAGAGAGAGGGCTTGTATTAAATGGGATTCGAACCCGTTACAATTTCCCCCAAGTGGGGTACTTATACCAGTAATTAATGAGACGGTGCATTAAATGTGTTACACGTGTTGGCTATTATATGGGCGAAAGCCCAAGGGCGTGGCACAACTTGACGTGTGTCATTCTCTAATCGACTTCTGGTCAGGTGTTCTCTATTGGCCGCGAGGACTATGGACGAGGTGCAGGGGTCCACCCCGAGTCTGGCGTTGTCCTTGTTCCTGATTGATTGTCCGGGATCTTTGACAAATGTGACATCACCGAGGTGATGACCGAGGTGACTGTACGAACATTGAACATTTTTCTCCATTGTGGACTGGATTTGGTTAAGGGTCCCAGGTAGTATGACGGGCTTGGGCCGTTTAGGTGTCAAGAGTGTGTGAGTCGTGGATTTAGAGTCTCCCACTCTTTGAGATGAGAGTCTTCAAAGTGAAAGGGAGTAGAACTTTTTTACATTGATCATGATCTTTGATTTTTCTGTGTTTCTTGTTGTTGTTGTTGTCCGAGGTGCTCAATCTGTGGTGCCGGTGGCTTCCAAGTATCTTTGTTGCATTTTCTTTGTTTTACTTTTTTTGTAAATTCTGGTCCCTAGTCCCCCACTCCTGAAGCCGAGATGACCATCTGGTTTGAGGAGTATAACATGTGTGCCTGGAAGCCACCTGTTGAACTTGCTCGAGGATCGAATCTATTCGGCGAACCTTGAACAAGGCAACCCTTTGGGAGAATCCTTGGACGAAGGTCGCTGGCCATAGACCCCCACTGCGGTGCTCAATGTGAGGGGCTTAGTCCGATATTTTGTTTAAAGAATTCATACCTGAGGTGTTATGTCCATTTGATGTCGGGGTGATGCTTTACCGACGTGAAGGTGTTGAGGTGCATTTTCTGGTGGAACCTTGGTGCATTTGAGCTTCATCTCGTGGTGTAACACCGTCCCCAAGTATATTTACTTTTTAGTAAATCATGTAATAAACCTTGAGGAATGAATTATGAATTTACGAGGTTGTAAATTTTTGTTAATTCTTTTGCGTGAATAGTAAATTGCACGTGGGGCCCACATCGGGAACGAGAACCACCCGATAATTCCGGGACCACATAATATATTCATCTTAGTCTAGATAATATGTATATGGTGGTGGATATTTTAATTGGACCATAGAAAAGGCCTAGGGTTGACCCGTCGGTCAAACGAAGCCCAATTACCGATATTGGCAATTTATCGGATAACAGCCCGAAATGAGTTCCGGAGATTTCTAAATTTCAGTTGGGGAATGTAATTTCATTCTGAAGACCTATAGTGATTAAAAACATGTGTTATATTTTATTTGACCCGATAAAATAAAATATGATTAGAACAGTCCGAGAAATACAACTTTCGGGGCCGATTGTACACATCAGGACATAATGACCTCCCACGTGAGTGGGGGCATCTCACGTTTTTTTGTGCTCAAATTAATGTGAGGGGGCTAGTTTGACAATGGAAGATATGTAGGAGGATCATTTGGCATCAAAGGTACATGGACACCCCCTCCCATCACACATTTTGTCATTTGAGACAAATTAAGCCACTCTCTCTCACCCCCAATCATCTAGCTCGCTCAACCCTATCATTTTGATAGGAGAAATTACCAAAATACTCATCCTCCATAGCTGAACTCGAGCTCAAGGAAGAAGGTCCAAAGAGGAGTGATTAAAAAGGAAAAAAAAATAGGGAAAGTGTGAAGGATTAAGGTAATAATCTTATAATAACTTTTCTCCTACTTTCTTAACTATCATATGACATATATATCATATGGAGGACCCCTAAGATTGTTCTATATTTTTAGAAGTGCAGAATGAGGGGTTAAAAGGTGGTTCTAAGTCCAAGAACGGACTTAGAAGCCAAAACGACCGGTTCGCCGGAAAATAACCTTTAAAGGTTATTTGTGTTGATATAGGTTTTGTGATGATAAAAACATGTTAGAAGCTTGACTTTAGTGTTTCTAGAGTTCGCCGGAGTTCGCTGGAGTTTCGCCAGAGTTTCGCCGGAGTTCAAGTAAGAAAGGGTAGAACTTCTTAAAGCTCATTTGAGGTGAGTGGATGGCTTAATGCCTTGTAACTTTTGGATTAAGCATGAGATTACCTAAGTAAATGTTATATGTGTTCATAATAATGTTTAAATGAGATTAAACATGTGATTAGCCAAATCGATTAGGCTTGTATGAAATGAACTATTGAGATATGCATGATTTGTGATATGAAAACATTTATAAAAACATATGTGATATGTTTAGAGATAAATGGTGCATAATATGGATGTTTATAACTTGATACATGTTGTGATTAAGTTTGACACATATTGGATTTGAAATAGCGGGTCAACTGAGAGTTGACCACTTGTCTAGGGGCAACCGGCGCCGGTCATACATAGAACCAGCGCCGGTCATACATAGAACCGGTGCCGGTTTGAGCGGGTTTAGCCCGGTTCATATTATTTGATTATGAACCGGTGCCGGTCAGATTTTAACCGGCGCCGGTTTGGCCTTATATTGCCTATATGTTGATTTTTAATGCATGAATTGCATGGATGATTTTGCTTAGGCCTTAAGACTTGGTTTAGTCTTGTTTATTGATTATGATATAGACCCTATCTAGTATGATATGTGGTAGATCATAGGTCGGGTGGAGTACCCAAGGATCGGGAGGTATCCTCAAAACTCGGTTATGTCGGGTGGAGTACCCAAGGATCAGGAGGTATCCTCAAAATTAAACTCGGTTATGTCAGGTGGAGTACTCAAGGATCAGGCGGTATCCTCAAAACTCGGTTATATAGGGTGGAGTACCCAGGGATCAGGCGTGTATCCTCAAAACTTAGTTATATAAGGTGGAGTACCCAAGGATCGGGCGTGTATCCTCAAAACTCATAGATTACTGTTTAGTAATTCAGGATCGGGCGGTGTCCTTATGATTATTTGATTTGGACAGGAGGAGTCCTATACACTCATAGGTTTATGGGTGGGTTGGGGTTTTAAGTCAAGGACATTGCCTACTGTTATTTTCCCAAATAAACAATGACCTACAGGTCGGGTATTTCCAAGTGTATATAAGTACCGATACTATTTTGTAACTTGGGGTAAAGAAGTATAAGTATATGTACCACCCTATGTTTGGGTCTTATATTTGAAACATTAGTTACTCTACATTTAGCTTGCTACTCGCTCGGTAC